TATATATCTCTTCTTTCTCATTGAGAATTCTATCTTACCCAAAACATCAATATATTTACTCATATTGAAATATTTAAACCAACTTTGCATTCCTGGAATTAGTCCCCATGGTCATGATAAATTATCCTGTATATATTGCTGGATTAGGTTTACTGATGTTTCATTAAATATTTTTATGACTATGTTCATTTGAGATAATTGTCTATAATTTTTGTTTAAGTCTTTGTTGGGGTTTTTAAAAAAAATATGCTGGTTTTATAAAATTAGTGGGGAACTGTTACCCACTTTCCTGTTTTCTGAAAAAATTTGGTAAGAGTGCTGTTACCTTTTTCTGTAAATGTTTCATAGAATTTACTATTGAACCCATTTTGGTCTACAATTATCTCAAGATATTTAAAATTATGAATTTAATGTTCTTCATGGACATAGGGCAACTCAGATTTTCTACTTCTTGTGTTTTAATAATTTATGTGTAAAGGAATTTATTCATTTTATTTAAGTTGGATTTATTGGTATGAAGTTCATAATTGTCTTATGCCTTTAATGCTTATTATAGCATTTATAGGGATATCCCATCTTTCATTTATTCTTAATAATGAATTTATTTTTTTTCTTGATCCATCTAGCTAGAGTTTTATCAGTTTTATTGATCTCAGAGAATCTTTTTCATTGATTTTTTTTTTTTTCTGGTGTCCATTCTTACTGTTTTTGTTTTTATTCGTTCCTGTCTTTCCACTTATTTTGGGTTAATATATTACTTTTTCCTAGCATCTTAAGTTGGAACCTTTTTTTTTTTCTTTTTTCTAATACAAGCATTTAAAACTACTCATTTTCCTGTAAGTACTAAGCAGTACTTCAGGTGCATTTCACAAATTTTGTTACGTTAGTTTTCATTATCATTTAGTTAAAACTATTTTTTAATTTCCCTTGTGAATTTTGATCCATGGATTAATTACAAGTGTGTTTACTTCTCATCTATTTGGTATTTTCCCAAATATCTTATTATTTCCATTATGGGCAGAGAATATTCAATCCTTTTAAATTTATTCAGTGCATGGTCAATCTTGGTAAATGTTCCATTTGTACATGAAAAAATGTATATTCTGTTAGATAGAGCATTCTGTAAGTGTCAGTGTGGTTAAGTTGTTTGATACTGTTGTTTGGTTTTATGTGTCACTATTAATGTTTTGTATGCTTGTTTTATCAATTATTGAGAGAGTGCAGGTTTGTCTATCTTCTCAGTTCTGTCAGTTTTTATTTCATGTATTTTGCAGCTCTTATTAGGTACACACATTTAGGAATGTTGTGTCTAAATGAATTGACTCATCATTATGAAATGTCCCTTTTTACGTAAGATAACATTCCTTTTTCTTGAGTTCTATGTCTAATATTAACATAGTCTGATATATGATAATATGTTAACTTTCTTATGAATGGTACTTGCTAGTGTAGTCTTTTTTCCCATCCTTTTATTTTTAACTCATCTGTGTCTTTATATTTAAAATGTCTAGGAGTTTGTATTTTCTATCCTATTTAGAATTCCCTGGCTCTGTGTTTTTAGGTTTTTCATTAGTTTTAGAACATTTTACACATTGTCTTGTCAAGTATTTCCTCCTACCCTTTCTGTCATTTAAAATTTTTTTCCCTTCGGGCGCCTGGGTGGCTCAGTTGGTTAAGCGACTGCCTTCGGCTCAGGTCATGATCCTGGAGTCTCGGGAT